TTGGCAATATCTCACAATTTTGACTTTTCTTCTCAGAATTATTTATCTAAATGTTTTATATCTTGCAATTCTGAGAAAAATTATCTGAATTGTGAGATAAAAAGACCAAATTACCATCATTCATTCATTCGTTCGTTTATTTATTTTTTTATATCCCATGGCAAAAACCAACTTTCATACTATAGTACACTAAACAACCATTTTTATTTCAATTAAATACAATTTTAAGTGTTTTGGTAACTCTTGAATTCATAAGGTATCATACACTATAACACCATACACTAAAAAGAAAACAATAACTTTTATTTAAATTAAATTAGATTACTTACAGTACATATAGACACACATATAAAACACGTAAAAATATATTAGTAAATTTGCAAATTACTAGAAGTCAGAAAGAAGTTGAGATAGAAATGTTTTTGGTATTAATTTAATGCATCAGGTATCCATAATAATAATAATAATACCATAATCTGTATGTAACACAATGTGATGTTTTTCCAAGTGCAACAGAATTATTCAGCGAGGAAAAAATGTTGGACAACTTGCTTTTCTGTGAAAAATGGGTGTTCTTTACTAGAATGACGTTAGTTAGTTGGAGAAGAGGAATAGAAGAGGGATTTGTGATGTCATCCAAAAAGGAAAGTCATTCAAAAGTGGTGAAAACGGTTACATTTTGATTATGAGCATAAGCTATTTTTTAAAATAACAATTGATGGGTAGAAAGTATGTGCATTAAGAAAGTAAATAGAGTAAATTTGAATGGGCTGTAACATTAACAAATGACGCAAGAAGAAGAAAAGAAAAGATCTCTTTGTTGCTGTGTTCAAGCTGTGTAGTAGTGGATCCAGCGCTACATGCTCACTGACAATGATCACAATGGTGAAAGGACAGAAAATTAGAGTGCCAAGGGCCAATTACACCCCCTTCACTCCTACACACTCACACACAGCCACGCAGAGTACAAAATACACCCTCGTCTCATTCAATCAGATTGCCTACACAACTCCTGGAGCCCACCCACCTATGTAACTGCTACATCCCCCCGGTCTCCTCATTTACAGTGGGAAAGCAATAAGGTAATCAGTTCTCCAGGTCTGAGCACTTTCAGCAGGGGCTTTGATGTATCCACTGAGACAAGGTTATTGTATTTTTCAAATGGTAATTAGAACAGAATCTAATTTAAGTAAAGATGGATGACTGTGTTGAACCAGTGTAGTTAAACCGATCATGTCGGTACTGTGTGAAATGGTAGAAATGTAAACGATTTAGTTCAGAGGAAAATTTGGACAGTGTGAAGTGCAACACTGACCATGTTTGAGTCTTTAAATGCAGTATAGCTTGGTGTTTTTGCTTATGGGTGGGCGGATTGTTCGTTTCATGTGGAACAGGTCTTTTAACACCTCCATAGTTGCTACTGCATATGGATCTCTAAGACCACAGGCGTAAAAAAACTGAATAGACCTTCTGCAGGCTCAGAGGACAGTCATCAACCACGATGAGGGAAGAGTCAGTGCAGATAGAAAAGCTTGTTGTCCGTCTGCTCTCTTATTAGCCTTCTGTTTCTGTATCCTAGATGAGTGCAGTGTCGTGTATCCATACACACACAAGCAGCCATTTTCAGCTAATGTCTTTGTTCCTCTCTGACAGAACACTGACGCCACATATTGATTCCCCTCAGGCGGTGTGACCATAGACACACGACTTGTGAGTCACAGTGACAGCACCATCACTGACAGACTGCTCAATGCTGCTGCTTCATTCACCAACACAGCACATTTCACTTACTTATATAATTACAACTTTTGGTAACACATTTCAATAAGGTTTATGTATACACAGGTGGCCAAAAGTTTGGAATAATTAAGATTTTTTAATGTTTCTAAAATAAGTCTCTTGCGCTTACCAAGGCTGCATTTATTTGGTCAAAATATACAGTAAAAACAGTAATATTGTGTGATGTTATTAAAAATTTTTGAGGGGGCGGGGTTTCGGGAAAGGTCTTCGAGCCAGGATTCGAACTTAGGACGGCCGTAGCGCAACGTATGTCGGCACACTGCACTGTAAAAAAAAATCGGTGACATTTACGGTAAAATACCGGCAGCTGTGGTTGCCAGAACTTCACCGTAAAAAAATATGGTAGCAACATTTTAGTCATACAAACACTAAACACCATCATGGTGACACACATGATACTGAAATAATGCAATAAACATTGAATTAACAACATTAGATGTAAGATTAAACCCTAATGTATACAACTGATAAGAACAAACTAAGAAGAAACGTTATTTCAACAACAAAAAAAACATCAAATATGAAGTGTCATGCAGGGAATTCTGGGAGTGTCAATTTACGGTTTGTCACTGTAAATTATACAATGACTTTTTCTTTTTCACTTCCAAAATTTGTGAAATTATTTTTAACAGTATTTTACTGTAAAATTATATTAAATGTAATTACATTTATTCACCGAATATAGTATGGAAACTTACTGTTAACCAGTTAACAGGTTTTTACTGTATCATTTTTACAGTCTTTAACTGTTAAAATCACAATCATTTTTTACAGTGTGCCCACAAGGCTATTGGCGCAGACCAATATTATTACAATTTAAAATAACTGTTTTCTAGATGAATATATTTTAAAATGCAATTTATTCCTGTGATGGCAAAGCTGAATTTTCACCATCATTACTCCAGTCTTCTGTGTCACATGATCCATCAGAAATTAAATTTGCTGCTCAAGAAACATTTCTTATTTTTAATAATGTTTAATCATTTTTAATAATGTATGTTTAATAATGTTTAACATTTTTGCTGCTTAATATTTTTATGGAAGTTGTGGCACACTATCATTTAAAAGTTTGGGATTTGAAAAAAAGAAATTAATACTTTTATTCAGCGCAACTGCGATAAATTGTTCAAAATTGAGAGTAAAGACAATAATGTTACAAATAAATGCTGTCCCATGAATAAAAATCACAGTTTCCACAAAAATATGAAAGGGATAGTTCACCCAGAAAAATAAATAAATAAAAAATTCTGTCATCATTTACTCACCCATATGTTATTCCAAACCTGTAATGAGTTTCTTTCTTCTGTTGAAAACATATACAGATATTTTTAAGAATGTTGGTAAATAAATAGTTGCTGGCAGTCACTGACTTTCATATTATGGAAAACCTTTGTTCATAACTGAGAACCTATATAATAATGGGTCACCTACTAGAATATTAGAATGATTTCTGAAGGATCATGTGACACTGAAGACTGGAGTAATGATGCTGAAAACTCAGCTTTGTCATAACAGGAATAAATTATATTTTAAAATATATTCAAATAGAAAACATTTATTTTAAATTGTAAAATATATCTGTTCATATGTCATTCATTTGTTACGTCGTAATGTAAGAATGTAAACGGACAGGAACGTGTCATGGATTCTTTCCTTCTACTTAGCCTCTCAACGGCTATATATATATAAAACCAGTCTTAAGTCACTTGGGTATATTTGTAGCAATAGCCATAAATACATTGTATGGGTCAAAATTATTGATTTTTCTTTTATGCCAAAAATCTTTAGGATATTAAGTAAAACACATCACTTTTCAAAGGGGATTAAACAAGCCTTCTCCTCTGTGAGCTGAGCCTGGTCTTTGCCCATGCAGGCTGTGTGTGAGAGACTGAAATTCTGCTTCTTTCTAAAATAGATGAGCTTCTGCTTTAAAACCAAGTAGGGTGTGAGCTGTATAAATACAGCTAAAATTCCCATTTTTTTAAATATCTGAAAAATTACCTGTTTAATTTACTCCTTGTTTGTCCTTGAAGTCTTTCATCATTTCGGCAAAAAATTACACCAACTATGTTTTACTAACTACAGTCACTGTGAGTTATTCTGTGTTTAAATGGATGACTATACTTTAACCTGTTCAGACAAAGCTAGGATGTCAAAATTTGTCATACATTCAGCCCCACCCAGTTACTCAGTCTGAGAGTTACCTCACAGGAAATTGACTGTGCAGAGTAAAACAAGCTTCAACAAAGTTAAAAGGCCTATTGTCTAATGGGAAATCTCAGGGCTAATAATTTTTTCTCTGCTGAATTTTATTTCTTTCTTTCTACAAATATTAAAAGTGTATTATACACTATCAATCAAACGTTTGGGGTAATGCACTGAAAATGCAGCTTCCCTCACAATAATAATAAAATAATAAAATATATTAAATTGTAACATTATATATTTAACCATTTTCCCCCCGTTTTTAATGTACTTTTGATCAAGAGGGCATAAGAGACTAAATCTTAGTGACCCCAAGACTGTTATTTTTTCAATAAAAATTTGTGTCCTTAATATTTTAATATGAAGTAAACATTTTATAAAAGCAAAAATGCACTTGATGCCAATTGTGAATGAAGTCACAGTTAAATGGTTTGCAATGACAGCTTTGTAAAGATGTCCTTTAGGCATGGTTATATGTACAATGTGAAACAGCCTCTCCTATTTGATTGTTTATGTGTAAGTGTATGTATTATTGTTATGTTCAGAATATTTTACAACTGAGCTGGGATTACAGCATCTTTTCTTTTCTTAAGAGCTGAACTCTGTACATTTTTGCAAAACCCAAACACATCTCGTATAGACTCAACTAGCCCTTAAAGGAACCAAAGCAATTACATCTGAAATCTGATTAATTAGAGAGATGGTATTTGGGTCTCAGTAGGTAGGCTAGATCTGCTGTTGCTGCATCCAGTTCCCAATCATGATGCTGATGGTGATGCTGGGGATGAGTAGGGGGAGGGGGGATCACCATAGCAATAGTGACGTCATCCCCCTTGCTCTAATTGGAGGAAACCCCGTGGCTACAAATCAGAGTCTACGGGGCAACCGAACGCATTCGTATCGGCCCGCCTCCATTCCCCGCGCTAATCAGCTATTGGATGATCATTTGAAGTATAACGTGTGACAGGAGGGGAGCGCGGCATCTGATTGGCTGACAAGCGGGATTAGCGACGTCCTACGGTAACACTTTCGGTTGTCTTTCTCTACTACGTTTTTTTTCCTAACCATCCAAGCTCAAAGGCTATCAATCCGGTGGAGTCAACCATTGATCGAGAGGTGAGATGCAGTCTAATATATTTTAGCTTTAAAGTTTTATGTTTATTTATTGTACAAGCTTATATTCGTATATACAATTTTTTATTGTTTCAATGGACGGCGTAATCGGTATAACCGCGCTGGTCGGTTGAGAGGCAGGAGGGGCTGCCAAACTGCGTCCATATCGATCAGGAAAAAGGGTTGATTTGCTTATTACAATGTAGTAAACATGTATTTACCTTTTATATGGGACGCTTGTATTCTCCGACTGCGTATTTGTTATATAATTTTGTTTTCTAAAATAATAACGTATTGGACAAGACGAGACCCATCGCTGTTAAAGGCGGGTCGTCAAATTGCTTTTTTAAAAGATTAAAAAAAAAGATTTATATAGCTATACTTTGATCTAAATAGAGCTATTTGTGGTATAAACTAAAATGTGTTTTGATATATGGTAATATGCATATCTGACTGCTGAGATTGTCAAATTAACGCTTTGTATAGTGAGCCAGTAACCTCATTGCTACGGAAATCAGGCTGGATTTCATTGATTCATATTGACTCCGTATGATTGTGATCGGTGTATTGAACTGCAATGTCCTATTTTGTGTATTTAAGATGATGTTAAAACAGTGGGTCCACTTTAAATATATGCACATTTTAGTGAACAGGGCAGGGCTGTACGGATCACACTGACACAGATGTGACACAAGCTGCACACACACCCTTGTTCGTGTCTCCAAACCTAGTGACTTACCTACCTAGACAACATCTGTCGGAACGAACCCCAAAATGCTGTTTTGGTAGGCAACTCACTAGGTTTTAAGACGAATTTTAGTATGTGTGTGGAGAATGAAAGTGTAAGATTCACACGGAACGGTGGTAGGGATTTTGAGTCATTTCAGTGATTCGAATCGTTTGAATCATTTACCAAAAAGATTTGTTCACGTGACTCTTTCTAATCGTTACGCCAGTAGGTGGCGACAAATTTGTATTTTAATATGAACGATTCATTGCATCATTCTATTAAATGGTTCTTTTCATTCAATAGCGAGATATTCCAGTTTATTCAGTTCATTTATGACAAGACATCACTCTTAGAGATCCTCAAGGGTTCAAAACATTGATTCGTTCAGTAAATGGTGTTTTTGTTGATGAAATGCTCCACAACTTGCATTCAAATGCTTGTGCTAAAATCAGCCTTTGAAGTCACGAAATAGCCACACGCTTCAAAAGGGAGAATTGTCAATGTATGGTAGTGAACCGAATGATTGGTTCGCATAAATGATTCGTGACTACTATTCTCTAATCAATATATGGAGTCTGACTGTCATTATCTTCCTCTCAGCCTCTCCAGGGATTAAGCAGCGGTTCATTCCCCTCCATTGATCAGTCAAGTGTCCCATAGACCTAGAAACACTCACAGACTTAAAGAAAAGCAGCAGGATGGACAGAGCAGAGCTCATCCAGAAGGCGAAGCTGGCCGAGCAGGCCGAGCGCTATGATGATATGGCGACCTGTATGAAGTCGGTGACCGAAGCTGGGTCTGAGTTGTCTAATGAGGAGAGAAATCTGCTATCTGTCGCCTATAAGAATGTGGTGGGCGCCCGGAGGTCTGCCTGGAGGGTCATCTCCAGCATCGAGCAGAAGACCGAAGGAAACGACAAGAAACTGCACATGGTGAAGGAATACCGGGGGAAAGTGGAGTCTGAACTGCAGGATATCTGTAACGATGTGTTGGTAAGTTTACACATTCATACAATGTAAAAGAATTGTATAAAATATTTAGATAAAATAATTTGAATTAGATGAACAGGAAGAAAGAAAATAACAGTCACAATTAAGAACAGAAATGTCTGTGACAGGGTTACACAGTTAATCGAAATAAAACCAAATCTGTGATATGGCTTAAGCCCGATTCGGACGGCAATTGTTTCTCATATGGATATCTGTAAAAATACATTTACATATCACCTCAGTGATAAAACTCATGGATTCGGATGGCGATTTATTCACAGTGGAGGAGCGAGTTCTGTGTTCCTACGAACCCGGGAACGAACTGCTCATGTGGCCAGTCACATGATTGTCTGCTGTAAATAAAATTAATTTTATTTACAAATTTATACTTATTATTGTGTAAAATATATTTTAAAAATACTTCTTATTATGTAAAATGTATTATTATTCCAAGCATATTTTATAATATATAATCCTATTTATTATTTGATTATTTAAATCTCCTGTTTAAAAATAGGAAAATAGACGCGCTATAGTTGTATATAATTATACGCGATAAAGTTATGTATATATTGCTGTGGTGGAGCAGTTATGAAGTATTTTTCTTTTCAATACTTTCCAGCATTTCGGAAATAAATATGTATGCAAATTACACCGAAGTACAACAGTTAGCCTACCGTACGGTGTTCGGGAGTGCAAGGGTTTAAACACTGAATTTTGAATTGATTTCTTCTTGTAAACTCAGAGATGTGGATTCGGACGGCAATTAAATTACCACACGACCTTGGTGTTTGTCAAAAAACAGTAGGTAATTTGGCCAGGGATTTTTACGGGAGTGGTGAGAGATATACACTGACATTCTGGATTCCGACGGCAATTAAATCACCGACTACCCCCTGTAAATGGTGACAATCACTTACGTCCCCATGAGAAACAATTACCGTCCAAATCGGGCTTTAGTGTGGTTTATCAATGAATTAAATAAATACATCACTGTTTTAGAGCGAAGCATGGCACTGTTCATTTTCACACAAGCAGCTCATGAGCTGGTGTTTTCAGCAGGAAATGCTGCTCCGAACACAAACTCATCTCTGCATGTGCTCTCTGTTTGGGTCACTTATATTGTGCTTTTTGGAACGCAATGTGCCATCTTCCCTAATAATGTTTGGCAAGTGCTTGTAAAACGGCTGTTGTGAACAAAAGAGAGTCTTCAAGGGCTTCTGGCAGTGTTTTGCCAAAATAACAGCTTAATGGTTTAATAATAAAAAAAGTAATTTATAGTAATAATATTTATTTTATATGATTATGTAACCACATTTTTTGGCCATATTGTGCAGCCCTAGACAGTAAACCTTGTCATCAGAAAAAATGCAATCACAATTAGGGTTGGGTATCGTTTGGTTTTTTTTCGATACCGGTGCCAAATTGATACTTTTAAAACGGTTCCGGTGCCTGAACCGATACTTATTAAAAAAATAAAAAATAAAAAATCCCCCCAAAAATGATGGATTGGCCATTAGAATAGAAATAGAATATAGAGTGCTAGAGTTAGAGGGTCAAATGAAGATGAAAGAGATGTGTTTTCAGCCGTTTCTTGAAAATATTAAGGACTCAG